ATCAGAAAGTGTGTGTGTGTGTGTGTTCGTTCGTGTGTGTGTGTGTGTGTGTGTGTTCGTTCGTGTGTGTGTTCTGAGTTTAGTACCTCTGCACATTTCAGATTGGTGGTCTCTTTTTTCCGATCTCACCTCAGCTTTCATGTAAAGAAAGTGGGTGGTGGAAAACTTTGAAAGCAGGCAAACCAAACCACATCTTAGAAACAGTATTTATTTTTTCTGTCTGATTCTTTTTTCTGCTGATCACATTTTGTTTTCATTTTTTTTTTAAATTACAGATTTTTCTAAATATATTTGACTGGGTGGGTAAAATGACCTGAGTGGGTTCGCTAGGCCAACCCCTGTTCATACCTGTAAGCAGCCTTGGACTGATGACTGAAGTAGTTCGATTGTAATCAAAGAACAGACAGCATTTCCTGTCACATCTAAATCACACAAACATGCACAGTTCTTTCTTTCACGAGACTGAAATTTTGTGCTCTAACATCTTCAAAGATGAGCCATGTTCTAAGTGTGAAGAAGGCTGGGAGCACCATGGAGGAAAGTGCTATTATTTCTCTGTCAGTAAATCATCCTGGACTGTGAGCAGAGGTGGATGTAGAGCTAAAGGAGGAGACCTGGTTAAAATAGACAGCAGGGAGGAGCAGGTATAAGAAGCTGTTGCAGGTTTATGTTCTTTCGTCTATTTTATCACATCTTTAGAAGTCTTGTTAGGTAATTTTCATCTGAATTTCCTATTCAGAAATTCCTGGATCAAAGACTGAAAGACATAATGAATTATCCTCAGGATAAGTTCTGGTTTGGACTGACTGACTCAGCAGAAGAGGGTAGATGGTTGTGGGTGGATGGCTCGCTACTGGACAAAAGGTTTGATTATTGGGAATATTTTTGTTCATTTACAGCATCAAACTTATCAGTTTTCACTTGAACACCTCTTTCTGTTCTTTTTTTAGTTTGACTTATTGGGGCTACGACGAGCCAGATGATTGGAAAGGGGATTATCCTGATGGAGAGGACTGTGCAAGAATGGGGGTAAAAGATGAAACCTCTGATCTGAACAGTTGGTTTGATGCTTCCTGCAACGTGGCTCACAGAAGTATTTGTGAGAAAGCAGAAATAACTGGACAACCTACAGGGTGGTTGGATTTTTAAAAATAAAATTGAAGACAAAATTTTGTGATTTTTTTAAATGTATCTTATTGTTATATTTTATAGCTGCTGCAAAAATGTCACCACATTTTACATTTATTAGACTGGTATTTAATAAATAAAGATAAAATCATTAGTTACAGTTATGTTTCCCTTTGTAACTTTGTAACATTTATAAAATGTTTCATTTTAAAAAAAAAAAACAATGTTCCAATGATACAGTTTAATAATGTAGAAGAATGTTTGCTTACTGGATGTAAAAAATAAATAAAATAAAAAAGGCATGCGGTGTTTACTTGAAATAATGACTCCATAAAGGCAGACAGCAGCAGAATGGGACTGCTCATGTTGCAAAATATACATCAGAATCTTTATTGTCATTGTGCTTTCGAACAATGAAAATTGTATGCTAATCCGTTCAGTACAAATGAAAAAGATTGCACTTTTAAGAGAAAGATGCGTGTATGTACAATAAATTACAAATTAAATAAATAAAATAAATATAGTATTTACAGGACTGTATATAAGAATGAACAAGTGAGAATACAAACAGGTAAGAATACGGTTTTGCACAGTGATTTAGTCCTTAGAATATTGCAGTTCTTTAGAAATATCACACAGTTAAAAAGAAAATATTGCACAGTTGAAGGTTGTGTTTTTGCAGTGATTTATCCCCCAAGTGTACTTATTAATGCAACAGCCCTGGCGTATGTGCTGTTTCTTAGTCTTTTTGTTTTGGCTTTAATGATCCTGTACTGTCTTCCTGAGGGTAACAAATGGAACAGTTGATATGTGGGGTGGGATGTGTCTTTCAGGATGCTGCAGGCTTTTCTGTGGCAGCAGGACCTGTACAGCTCCTCTAGGGAGAGAAGAGGACAGCCAATGATCCTCTGTGCTGTGTTGATGACCCTCTGGAGTGATGCTCTTTCCTGAGCAGTACTGAGCAGTATTATTAATAACTGAAAACATTTTGAATGCTCTGAGTAAAAGCACCAAACATTGTATGTTTGTCCCTCTGGAGGCATTAATTTGAAAAATCCCATTAGCCATTTTAATTTTCAAATTGGTCACCATTTACCTCACAGGAAACAGCTATTGTACTACAGAATTTCAGCCACTGAATCGATTTAAGATGTCTTGATGCGTACTCAATCATTCAGAAAAGGAAATCCCAGAAAGCTGATTCTTTTCATCTAAAATGAATCAACAGATGAAAAAAAAAAACAGTTTTGACTCTTGGTTTCTATTTTTGGACTATGTAGCAATCAAATCAAAACTAAAAAAAAAAAAAAAAACTTCTCCAGAGCTTCTTTGTTTGCGTGTCAAGAAAAATTGTTGCAATTCAATCCCCAAAACTGGCGAATTGTGAAAAAAAAAAACAGTTCTTGAGAGAACTGAGAGAAATTGTTTCAATATTCTCTAAACGGACAACTGGTAAGTATGATCCTTTAACTATTGTAAATTTGTATCTATTTGAGAAATAGATACTTTTAATTTGTCAAATTTAATGCATCCTTTCCAATTCTAAGGGACCATTGCAGCAATTGCATCTGCATTATATCATCTGCAAACACACAGAAGGGGAAAACTTGTGTTAATCAGGAGAGTAGTGAGTTTGAGTGATTCTCAGCTATTTGTACTGAGTTTTAGCTCTCTCAACTCAAGCTACTGGCTAGACTAACTGAAGGTAAATTGACAGGCCCATATATAATCAGTTTAAGCTTGATTCAGATAATGAAGGACAGGTGAGCTGTTTTACTGAGTCTATGGGTGTGGTGGTTTTTGTTCTAAGTTCATTTTGGGGAGTTTTGGTTAAGTTTTATGTATAATGGAGGTAACTTTAAATAAATTGCTCATCTCTGGGAACCTGAAATGTCTGCCGAGTCCGCTTACCTACCACCTTTTTCAACACTCTTCTACACTGAGACACTTTGAGATCCACTACGTAAGAACACTGAGCTAGGTAGACAGTAAAAGCATTAATGTGGGTAAATCAACAGAAAAGTAAAGAAAAGGGGAGCTTCAGTTATAGCTGAGTACTCATTATAAGACATCTGGTAGTTAACTTACATGTGTGTGCTTTTTATACAGACAGGATATGTAGGAGAGGTTTAGTCATTGTGTGGTTTGACAAGTTTCAGTGGACATTTGCATTTAAGAAAACCACTGCTCATTTAGCAACTTATTCACATCCGCCTTTACAGAAATTAATGCCTCCATCAAAAGGAAATGAAGGATAAAATAAATAAAAT